CACACACACACACACACACACACTTTCTCTCTCTCTCTCTCTCTCTCTCTCTCTCTCTCTCTTTCTCTTTCTCTCTCCATACATATGCATTTATTTATTTCATAGACCTCAAATTAAGGACTGCAGTCCTATGTGATCTGTGAGGTCACTGTCAACTCTAAATCTATGATCCTATGTAGTAGTGTTTAATAAAATTTTTTTTGGATATTTCCAATTGTTTTTAGGACTATTGAACTGATTTTGCATGAAAAGCTTTTACTATTTTTCTAATGTTGGGAAAGAGGCAACAAAGTGTAATAGGTAGAGGACTAGTCATGAAATTAGGAGGACCCGGGTTCAAGCCTTACTTTCATATACATCCTATTTATGTGACACTGGACAAGTCATTTAACCTCTTAAGGCCCCAGGCAACTCTATACATTACTGATCATTTGTAGATCAGCATTGGTGAAGGGAGTTTCCTCATACTGAGGAAATCATGTGTCCAGGTGAAAATAAATAAATAAAATAAAGTTGGGACTAAACTTGTCATGTGATCGTTATATTGTTAACTGTCTACATGCCATTCTTTGTCCTCATTTATTTGTTCCCATAGCTATTTAGTTCATACTGACAAGATTTCTTGTTTCTGATCCTTGGTCCATGAACTCTTGGTATTGACTCCCATCTTAGATTTCATGCCTTTCATTTTATCTCCCTTTGTCAGGGAAAGGGAAGAACAAAATAGATTAAGTATATATTGCCTCAGAATCTAAATGGACATTCAAAAATCTAGTCAAATCATTTAATGTGTTCAAATAAGTGAATGCTGGCCATATTGTAGATTAATTGAATTTTTCACTTTACTTTGGATGCTGAGTGACACAGTCATAAAGTTCTATTTTTCTTTTCACTTTCCTTACTTTTCCATAAGCAAGGATACTGCCCAAGGAAGTGCCATCAGGTTCAGGTGCCCTAAAATTCTGCTACCTCAACAAGGACACTTTATGGTTTTATCAGCAATGTCTAAGTCTCCACATTTTTTTGCATAATACCCACTGAGAAATACCCATGAATAGAGAGCTACCCTCAGAGATAAGAAGACATGGTGGCTTACATCCTCCATTAGAGACATGTTGCTTGTGTTACCCTAGGGCACATCACAATCTCTCAGTGCTCCAGGTGGCTCCCTAAAACTATTAAGGTGCAAAGAAAGTGCTGAGCTGCCTTGGTGGAGTGAGTTTCCTCATCTGGGAATTCCCTATGTCAATGACATCACAGTTCTCCTCCCTCTCTCTATCCACCTCAGCTGAAACTTCTAGACTTTTGTTCTCTGGTCTGCATGGAGAGCAATGAAAAGCAAGGTTGAGCAAGGGTGATGGTTCCCGTGATATGCCTTTTGAAAATTTATTTATTTGTTTATTTATTTTTGGTAAAAATATAACCTGGTAGTCCACTTAGCCATTAGGCAGACAGAAAATAGGTTCTTTTTTTTTTCATTTTTGGGTTTTTTTTACAATTTCAAAAGAACAAGAGGCTTTTTTAGATTTTTTGCTATACTACTGTACATTTTTTCCCCTCCTTATTTGCCTATACTAATATATCTGAGTCTTATGCTTCATCAGGGTCTGGAGATGACCCTGAGTTATTTGAGGGTATTCTACCAGAAGACTATTTCTTTTGGCCACAGTAACTCATAAAAATCTGTAAGCATTGAAAGGGATTCCCTCCACTCCCACCCTCACTGCTATGTACTGATCTGCATCAGTATATGGGATACTCATACCAGTGAAATCCAAGATTTTTTTAAAATTTGAAGCAAGAAGTATTCAACTTATATTTCTTATTGTCTTATTATTGTCTTCCTCCCTCTGTCTCCCTTCTTGCCTTTCCTCCTCTTTCCTTCTCTCCCTTCCTCCCTTTCTTCCTCCCCTCCTTTTTTCTTCTTCACTTCCTTGTGTTTTTCATTCATGTATTCTTTGCTCTCACATATTTGAGATTTCTCTTTCCCTTTCTTCCTGCCACACTTTCTCCATTCACCTCTGATGTGCCTTTGCTACCATACCTTCCCTTTAATTTTGTTTTTCTTGCTGCTTCTCAGTACCTTACTTTTTGGACCTTGTTTTGGTCTTTCTGACCCTTAAGAAGTTATTCATCCCCTTCCTTTGCAGCCTCATCCAGGGCAGAGAGTAGAGATTAAGAACCCAAGGTAAGCTTGGTGAGGTGGCAGCAGGTGGCGGTTTCTCAAGGTTTGTGGGTTCTTGACAGTGTACCCTCTGACCTACATTTAACTCACATAACTATAGTCAGGGCTGCCTTCATGCCGCTTCTACTTTGAAGGGATGATAGAAAAGTCATATTAGGAACTTCTTGAAGCTACAGACTAGAAAATCAAGGGATTTTTTGCTTACTCTCAGATTTTATTTCTTGTTTATTAAAGTGATTCTTCTCTGTTTGATCTGTTGACACTTCTCTTCCTAGATTTTATTCCCCCTTCTTGAGTAGTGCCTTCTTTTATGTGACTTCTCCTCCCACGCTTTTCCCCTTCATTTATCTTTTTTGCTTATTGAGAAGTTTTTATTCTTTTCCTTATTCCATGTTTCAGTCACTTTCTTTTTCTTGGCTACCAGACAGAGAAGTTTCTCCTCTCCCTTCATCTCACCTTCCTGGTTTATTCCTGTTTTCTTTTCTGCTTTTTCCTTCTGTGTATCATAGTAAAATGTAGCCATGTTAGGGGAACTGAGTGTGAAGGGAAGAGGTAGGTAGTTATATACATGGAAATGGTTAGCCATTTTTCTCCCAACTTTCTCCAGAAGTTCTTGGTACCTAGTATGTGTAGGATATAGCTGAGTCAAGGCCTTAAGGTTTAAATGCAGAAGTTGGAGAAAGGGGAGGCTAAAGCATTGTCACTCATGAAAGGTTTAGTTAAAAATTTATAGTGCAGCCATCCTAATGTTAATAGCATTTGACAGTGGGAGTGTGTTGGCATAAGCATAGAGAATGCTGATTGGTTTCCAAAGAATCTAATCAGCAGATTTAGGTGGATTGACCTATGCGGATTGCAGAAAGCCTGGGATATTTTTTCTTGGATTGACATTCCCCAATGCAAGCAAAGGAGTTTCTGTACTATCCCCTGGCATGTGTCTCCTCATCTGCTGACCACGGTTCAAAATACTTGTATTTTTGCCAAGATGTCATTTACGTTGTTCATTCATTTGGTTTCTGAAAAATTAAAATTAGATTTGACTTTTTAAAAATCAAAACTGAATTGCTCCTTAGCAAAAATATTCATATAAATAGTAAATGTACTGGTCTCCCCACCCCCTCCTTAATCTTACTCTTTAAACTAAAGACAGAAGTAAAATAGTGAGGAGAAATTTCTCCCTTTTGCTAATATAAAAGTACTACCTTTGGAATGGTGGCCTGGCCAGTATTCTGTGTCATCAGGTCTCTTTCCAAAGGCATCTGGATTTTGTAAAGGACTCATTGCTATTAGTCTTCAATGGTTAGTGAAAGAAAGAAAGTAAGAAAGGATGAAAGGAAGAAAGAAAGAAAGAAAGAAAGAAAGAAAGAAAGAAAGAAGAGAGAGAGAGAGAAGAGAGAGAGAAAGAAAGAAAGAAAGAAAGAAAGAAAGAAAGAAAGAAAGAAAGAAAGAAAGAAAGAAGAAAGAAGAAAGAAAGAAAAAGGAAGGAAGGAAGGAAAAAAGAGAAGGAAGGAAGGAAAAGTAGTCTCTGCTTGTTATAACATGAAACTATGACATAACAAATTTTCCTAGATTTTTAATTAAGTTGGTACCCTTACCTAAGTGGCTATAGTTTAAGATCAGTGATCATTTTACCTTTTTAGGAAGCTTTAAAATGAAGAAGGAAGTTTAATTAAATTGTAATCATATGTATCAGTTTGTTCTTTGTAAGACAGTAAACTCTCAAAGTCACTTACATAGGATACAGTATAAATGGAAAAAGAAACAAATTTGCATGCCTGGTTGATCAGAATTGTATTCATTGCAGTATTCTGTAGGGTGCAACCAATGAATTTCCTTCTACCATATTTTCTTCAGGAGCCATAGGCCTTTTCTTGAAATTATCTAAATTTCAGTGAGTTCCTCTCATTATGAATATTATATTACTGAAACTTTGTAGGGATGAAAAACTTCATGGTTTTCCATCTCATCTATGATAGAATTGTGTAGATGTTTGTGTTTTAATATATTTTCCAGATACATACACATGCATGTGCACAGATACACACGTGCAGCGCACACCCAAGCTGTTTTCCTTCTGAAAGTATCTGAAAAGTAACCTGGCTTTTTGGGGTCATGTGGAGGTCATAGGAAAGACTGCAGATGGGAAGCTATTTCTCTTGATATTGTTTGGACCTAATTACCACAGTATCCTAGTACCACCCATGTGTTTCCCCCAAAGAAGGAGATTCATATAAATGCCCTTGTCTATGGACTATTGAATGAAATAGTAGGGTGTGCTTCGTAAAATATCATCACAGATGTTAAGTTCATGGTCTTTAATTAGGACACTGAAATCTGTATATCAAGATTTGTAAATCATCTAAATTGTAGAGTAATGTTTTGGAATAGAGCTTAAGGGATTGACATTAAAGACGTATTTTTTTTTTAGAAATGCAATAATTTCCGTAAATCCCCAGTCAGTTTTAATCATTCTCATTAGACCTCTGCTAACTACAGTGCTAAAGTTTTTTTGCTAAAGTCCTTGAATTCCAAAGTAATGCTTCATAGTTCTTTCCCCGTTATTATAACCACCTGGAATGCAGTACTCCAGTATTGGATCAAAAGCAAGATAGTGAATTGTATTTTTGGTTCTTACTGTACATGCTCATGTAAACAAACACGCAGACAAGAAAAATTTTTTTTTCTTAAAAATGTTTTCTAATCTCTTCCAGTTCCTGAATTTCAAAGTTTAAATTGAAAACATTTCTACTCCAATTGTCATTATTTGTCTCATTTACTGATGGATTTTTTTGTTTTTGTTTTGTAACCATATCAGAATCTTTGGAAGAGCTGCCAGAAACAAATGGGAAAACAGTCCGGCGTTTCTTCTTTAATTTAACTTCCATCCCCAATGAGGAGTCTATCACCTCAGCTGAACTTAAGGTTTTTCGGGAGCAGGTGCAGGAAGCTTTTAAAAATAACAGCAATCACCATCATCGTATTAATATTTATGAAATTATAAAGCCAGCAACATCCATCTCTGAATACCCCATTACAAGACTGTTGGACACAAGGTTGGTAAATCATAATGCAAGCAAATGGGAAAACTTTGATGTCACACCCGCTGTGATGAGGTGGATTGCACAGGGACAGGCAAATCACGGGTTTGTGGTAGAAGTGGTTCACTTGGATGATGACAGAATGGTCTCCAAGAGACATGTAAGGATTAGTAGGTCTTTGCATCAGGACGATCACAGCTGGTCACAGATAAGACCATTACTAGTAACTTTTGGCCATGATGGCAAAGGACATCCTCTCCACAAAAGAGAAAAGCGTCAAGCAAAACACAAACAGCGGAAGCGCCTCAAGTCCAGTTGCAAGCGACATCCTTTATATGTAGACTTCAGTGATGTGGGGTGGAATGACTGGATTGTTGCCCCACCAGGGTATCATGCCTTTTACTGCCATGGAGAATGCCCCTTTCCATTGGCTGATCACCTGAACTCAACAAATCATGCCATTGTTCAGACTTTGGTCAATTCAGTTAACTCCAAAATCCCCAAGGCATGCTGTGTACCAACAGAACTCAGTGCTATCTCCATGCTCTACCTTGATGAAAATGAAAAAGTTGTGTTAAAGAATTATCAAGATATGGTTGTGGAGGGATGTGGGTGTCGTTAGCGCAACAGAATTTTTAAAAATATATATTAGACAAAAGCAAAAAAAAAAACAAGTTGACACTTTAATATTTCCCAATGAAGACTTTATTTATGTAATGAAATGAAAAAAAAACACAGCTATTTTGAAAATATATTTATGTCTACAAAAAGTTGGGAAAACAAATATTTTAATCAGAGAATTATTCCTTAAAGATTTTAAATGTATTTTAGTTGTACATTTTATATGGGTTCAACCCCAGCACATGAAGTATAATGGTCAGATTCTTATTTTGTATTTATTTACTATTATAACCACTTTTTAGAAAAATAGCTAATTTGTATTTATATATAATCAAAAGAAATATAGGGTTTGTACATAATTTTCCAAAATTGTAGCTGTTTCAGTTGTGTGTATTTAAGTTGAAAAGTATACATGGAAGGTTACTATGGCAAAGTGCATAGCACATTTGCTTTTTGCAGTGCTACTGTTAAGGTCACAAGTTCAAGTCCAGAAAAAAAAAGTGGATAATCCACTCTGCTGACTTTCAAGATTATTATATTGTACAATTCTCAGGAATGCTGCAGGGTGGGCTGTCCAATCCACGAGAACTGGCATCTTCATTAGGCGGAATCTTTGGATAAGAACCAGACATTGCTGATTTAATAGAAATACTGAAGTTCCCAACTAATTTGGAGAGCGATTACAGCAGGGCCAATCGAAACCTTTAGTAAAATGTTTGAACTTATAGGAAAGTGAATGATGGCTTTTTAGTCTTCTTTCCTTAACTAGTAACCCCTTTAAATAGCTGTCCTGGCCAAAGCATTAAATAAAATATGAGAGTTCTTCATTATTAATATTGTGGTCACGTATATTTAAAACCAATTTCAGTTGGCCCTTGTCTTAACAGATGGGAATGAGTTATTTTTTAAACCTCAGATAGGAGCTTATTAAACTAAAATGATCCCTGTCTTCAAATTTTGCCCCGAGTAAAACAAAATATTGTCATCCATGGTTTCTGTCTACCCCAGTGCTGTCTGTCAAATTCACTTGCTTTTCTTTCTAAGGTTCTGTGTTTGAACGCATTTTCCAAATGTTAAACCTATTTCAGATAATAAATATTGGAACTCTGACATTTCATTCTACAAAGTCCAATCTGTGAAAGAAAATGGTGCATTTATACAACATTCACAATGCTACCTTGTGTTTGCATTGCTGCTTCTGAAATCCTTCATCTAAAAGGGAGTAAAGAAGTCCAAGGGATGACTTCAGATTTGCTAGTAAGATGCTAACCAACACATACTTGCACCAAAGAATTTTTTTTTTATATTTAGCATGTTCATGAACTGATATTTTTTTCTGAAAAGAAAAAGTTTAAGACCAAATGACCTATCAAAACAAGCTAAAATCTGGACAATATGGAATGAGTGTTCCAAAATTATATCTCAGGCAGTATTGATAGAACTAACAGGAGTTTAGAAAAGGAAAAATTCTGAATACTGCTTCTTCAATAATAGCTGCCAGTTAGACTAGGGCATCTCCTCATACACATAAGTAACATCAGAATAAGGGAAGACTCACTAGATTTGATTGCTCCAGCCAAGGAATCTAGGAATTACCCTGCAATTTACATGAAAATTTTCAAGGGCTCTAACACATCAAATCCACTGAACTGTGTTCATATTTGATCTTGCTAGAGTTGAAAAATCCATCCCTGGATTTTCTGCTTTACTCTGGCCCAGGAATTGATTAAAAAATAGTTGTTCTGTGGTACAATTGACACATATTTAGATTCAGGGCTCTAGATCCAAGGTCTATAATGTTATTGAATAGTTCTTAGAATATGTCCAATCCTTTCTTTAAGGTGATGAAGGCAGGCCAGTTTTAAATTTAATACTGGTCGTTTTCCACCTTACAATTTAACTGTCTTGTTCCTGTCAGCCAACTTGGATAAAGCCATTGATTATTACTGATCAATTCATTATATTACTATTATCATTATTACTGGTCAATTTACTCTTTAGAAAAGACTTCGATGAGTTGGATATGATTGCAGTCAGAGTAGTAAAAAGCCATGCCATTTGAAGAGCACTTGAAGGCAGTGGATATGTTTAGTCTGGCAAAGAGAAAGCTTAGGACTTGATAGCTGTCTTTCAGTATTGACAAGTTATCACATGGAAGAAGGATTACACTTATTCTGCTTGCCCTCAGAGAGCAGAACTAAGAGCTATAAGTGAAAGTTTCAAAGAGGTAAATGTGGACTTGAAATATTTCCTGACAATTAGAGTTATTCATAAATAATATAGGCTACCTTAGGAAGCATTGTTTCTCATCACTGGAAACTTTTTAGCAAAGTTTAGATGGCTATTTGTTGAGCATGTTACAGGGGAGATTCTCGTCTAGGTCGAGTTCATCTTATCTGGCCCCTAAGGTCCTTTCCAGCTCTGAGAGCCTTTGCTTCTATAAGCTCTGTTATTTATTTTTTTTCACTGTGATATTAGCAAAGAAGACTTACTACCCCCACAATATTGTGCCTTCTGAATAGTCTTTACAGCTTTCTTAAAAAAAAAAATCTTTCTTCACAGTTCTTTCACCTGTTCACAAATTACCTGGTAGAGAGCATGAGGCCTCAGGTTAGATGCTTAATGTCTAGAAACTTGTTCTAAAATAATTTCATCTTTGTCCTCTTTCTTGTGAATTCAACATGTATGTGCAGTAGGATTGGTTAACATATAATGCAAAATCATGGTAAGAAAAATGTCTATGTCTACATATTCAGATGTTCTGTATTCTTTATATAAGCATAGATATGTGTGTATGTGTATATACACACATGCATATTGAGTAGATTCTATATAGAGAATTTATGGGAGACTACGGACAAAAATTGTGAAATATGAGACTGTTTGGTGGGATTGAGATCTTTAATAATATTGAGTTCCTTCACTGATAAAATCAAGGGCTGTTTGTAGAAATATTTGTCAACTTCTGGTACCAACTTTATTTCTATTGTTTTTTAGAGGTGCCTGACCAAATAAGTCCTACCGACTTGATGACACAAAAAATTGACAGGCAGAATTTTTTTTTCTGCTTGATTTCAGATCTTTTGTACAATTTATAGGCCCTTCCTTCCCTGCCCCCACCCCCACCTCCTGGAGTCTACTTGAGAAAAAAGGAGTATTTGCGTTGTAGTCTTTTTCTTCTTTTGCTTCACATAGTGAATCCTCAGGCATAGAGAGTGTTAAGTACATTCCAAGAGCTGTAACTAACTTCACGGCCATCGGTATGGCTTTATACATCAATCATAAATCTGTAGGATATTTTGAATTCTTCAAGCATTAACCTGCCAGCAATTGCAATATGTGCCTTTTGCTAATATGTGAAGCCCAAATAATAGTAGTTTCCCAAATTTTCTGCCATAGATCTCCTTTCATTACTGATTGAATTTTGTGAATTCCTTGTCTGGTTTAGTACTTTTCTCCTTCCCCTTGAGTCCTCTAGTCATCGTATCTTGACTATTATGGCATCTCCAGATCTCTATTCCTTTCCTCCCCCGCCTCCCTTGAGAAGAACTACCAGTCCCAGCTTCTGTTTCAGCATAATATCTACTCCAGCTTCTACTTTAGGTTGTGTCTCAATAGAAAAAATGAAGTCAAGCAATTATCTGTATGGACAGATAATATAAAGACCCCATTTGGGTATTATAGATCTAAACACCATCCTTTTGTTTTCCTTGATAAAAGAGGGAAATAATAGCATGGTTTGTTGAGCACTTAACTGTATGCAAACTGGCAGTATATTAATTGCAATTCCCTTTAGAGACATCTGACCTAATTTGCCATACTAACTTGTATAAGTCAAAATAGTAGATGATCCCCAAATCACTTAATATTGCTTTACAATGAATTGTGATAATTTTTGCATTAGATTTACCTTCCTTATTGTTTTAGAGAATGTCAATGATTTTAAATATTAGTCTGAGCATAACCACATGCAGTACATGTATACATATTTACACAGACATATATATACACACATGTGTATACATATCTATGTATATGTATAAATAAATAAGTATACATATTTTAAAAAGCAATGAGTAACCTGAAAATAGAAAGATGTATATATATATATATATATATATACATATATATACATATATATATATACATTCATTTTCAAAGAAAATAAATAATCTGAAAATAGAAAATTGATCACAAATAATTTAATTTCACCAGATAATTGTCTCATCTCCATCCTTTATCATACATAACCTTACTTCAAGGAATCAGTTTTGTTGGTGGAGGTAATCCCCTCTAATGGTGCACAGCACAAACCTAAGTGGTTTTTGGAGAGTTCCTGTAGTAGAGAGACTCATCACCAACCTCATGAAAAGGTTCTCTGTACTTAAACAGGCAGGTCCTCATATGATAAAAATATAGCCCATCTCCAGGCCCAGGCATGAAAACCTTCTAGTTTGGTAGGATCTTCCAGAGATTGTATCCCACTGGAATAACCCATGTTACTTTTTGTCAGGATGAGGCCCTGGACTAGGTCTTACTGAAGATACATCCTTACTGTTCTTTAAACTAGAATTTCTTTCCCTCTGGCCACACTGTTGACCCACTTTGTGCCTTTTCCTCTTTTCCTCTCCCTCTTCCCCCCCCCAATTCCTATCCTTAAAGTTCCTCTCAAGGTATCTTGGAATCTTCGTGCCATATTTTTGGGCAACATCCTATAGACTTTTTTTCAATTCTGACTGAACTGGCTTTACATACTTTAAAATTGAAGAGTCCTTGATACACCCAGCACTCCTTTTCTTTAGCCTAGACACTTGTTGCCATCTGAATGTATTTTGCCATCTATTTAAGTGATGCCCTCAAATATTTTCAAAGGCATTTTTCCCCCTAGAGAATGACTGGCAATTTTGTGTTCTAGCCACCCACCCTCAGACATGAAAACACTCAGTTGCTTATCTTGTAAAATCAGCTCTGTTGCTTGCTTGGGCTTGTACTTCAGCCAGTTTCGCAAAATACATGTCAGT